CAAAGGGTCTGAATACTTAGGACCATGTGATATTTCAGTTTTTCTTTTTTAATAAATCTGCAAAAATGTCAACAATTCGGTTTTTCTGTCAATATGGGGTGCTGTGTGTACACTGAGGAAAAAAAATTAACTTAAATGATTTTAGCAAATGGCTGCAATATAACAAAGAGTGAAAAATTTAAGGGGGTCTGAATACTTTCCGTACCCACTGTAGATTTGCTGGGTCATAAAATGCAGCTGTACACGGAATGAGTACAACGTGAGCCGTTTCAAGTCAGGTGTAGTGAATATAAACCTTCTTACACTAACATAAATGTATCACCATGTTTTTGGGACATGGCACAATGGTTAATCCAGACTTGTACTAATCACTGATTACAGTGATGTATATCAGAATACCATGGTATCACCATCTCCACTGTACAATGGTACCACTGCCGTCCAGGAGTCCAGAGAGTACAGGACAATGCATCTACTTGTCAAATCGATCAAATTTGACATTATAAAAACATAAACTGGAGATAAGTTTTGAGGTTTTACATAATTCAAGGAGTAATAATACACATCAAGAAACAGCCAATTTAACTGAGTTTGATTAACACAAACAGGCTGATATAATAAAATATGATATAGTTTTCTAGTCAGTAGGTATTGATGGTTGACATTTGTGATGTGAAATAAACCAGGAAGCCCAAAATCTACTTGCCCCATTCTGGGGAAAAGCTTTAAAATTAATTTGAGCTCTGGTTTGTTGCCATTGTAGGTTAGGTGGAAGAACAGGGGGCAGGTTATTAAAAGTGGACGCATGCACCAGCCTTGTGTAATCTATCCTCCAAAATTGAATCGGTCTCACTGATCTGCTCATGTATCACATACAAACACTGGTTTGGAGATACAAGCCAGGATGCAGCATCTTGTCAAGCGAAGCAGCTCAGAAGGTAAGATAGGAATCTTTAGGATCTAAGCCTACCTGCATCTGAAACCGCAGCTGAAAACAGGAAGCGGTTGTGTGGTAGAATTGAGTGTAGAAAGTTTCTTAAGGCTTGCACCATAAGTGCATCTCGCTTCCCTGATGGTCAAGAGCAATGCAGTGCCAAAGTTCTTGCTTGCTACAGATGCCAGTCAGTCTAGGGCTCACGGCTCCCAGGTTGGTTGTACCAGCGGTATCAATCGAAGATCCAAATTGATTTTGCAGCATTTCAGATTTACACTCAATTTTGGTTATTCTGTTGAAGATTCTTGATTTTCAGTGTAGGGAGATCCAATAGATAATTTCTACGGAAATAACATCTCTACCCATCTCTTTGATGGCTCAATTTTGAATCTGTTGGTTTGAGAGATTGAGATTGGCAATGTGTTGCCAAACTAGAGTCAAATCATCCACCATCTTCCTTTGCATCTGGGGAGAACGAGTCTTGCTGTCTTTGCTACCAATCTTTTCTTTCAGAGGATCTGGATAGTGGTTGCTACAGCCATAAAGGTACATTCAGTTCTGCAAAATAAAGACAAAATTGGGCATGGTGACCTTTCAGGATTAAAGGGATAGTTCACCCAAAAATGAAAATGCTGTCATTAATTACTCACCCTCATGTCGTTCCAAACCCGTAAGACCTTCGTTCATCTTCGGAACACAAATTAAGATATTTTTGATGAAATGTGAGAGCTCTCAGACCCTGCATAGACAGCAGCGCAACTGTAATGTTCCCAGGTCCAGAAAAGTAGTAAAGACATCGGTAAAACAGTACATGTGACATCAGTGGCTCAACTTCAGTTTTGTGAAGCTACGAGAATACTTTGAGCGCAAAGAAAACAAAAATAACAATTTATTTAACAATTCTTCTCCCCTGAGTTACGTCTTCTGCCATTTTAGAGTATTACAACGCATAAGTACGCTTTCCCCTAAGTGTAAACAACGCTGATTACGCAGATTACGTTCATGCGCGCACTTTCTCCTCCGAACGTAAACAATGCTGATTACGCTCTTGGGTACTCTCCAAAATCTGACATTTGAATGCCAGAAATCAAGGTCTGAGAGCTCTCACATTTCATCAAAAATATCTTAATTTGTGTTCTGAAGATGAACGAAGGTCTTACGGGTTTGGAACAACATGAGGGTGAGTAATTAATGACAGAATTTTCATTTTGGGGTGAACTAACCCTTTAAGTCTTGAGGGATTGATGGTAAGCTATAAGAAATTTCAGGCTCTTTCAGAAGGCCATGGCATTGTAATGCCTACATGCTATTGATCATCTTGATCTTCACACTGTGTGCACAGAATTTCTTCTAGTTCACAACAGTTATAAAAGTCTGTGATTATTTCTGTTGAGGCTACAGTTAAAGAACAAATTGATACGGATGGAAACTACATATAATTTGGAACTACACAGTTATGAGCTACGATGCACAAGTTTGCATGCTTAGATGTGTGTGAGAGTGATGGGTCACCAAAGACAGTTACTAAATGAATGCAGTCTTCAGATGATAACAGTTTATGGTTCTGATGCTTTCCTCTGTCCATGTCCTTCAGAAAAAGAAAACATGGATATGAAGATGATGATCACGTCGTGAAAAGGCAGATGGTTGCTGAGGAAGTAAGTTTATTTGAAGATTATTTGTTCCTCAGATGCACATCTTCTGGCTACCGCTTGAAGCTTACGGATTTTGTTTTGCAGGAGTGGACTGATGAGGATTTCGATGCATTGTGATGATGAAATTGTTTTTAAATTGGCAACAGGCTGAGTTATTCCATTTGCCATCACTGACAGAGGATGCCCTTCTCAAACTAGATTGTAAATATTTCAGCAAAATGTCATGTCAATCTTTTTCTTCTGTAAAAATAAAACTTTTTTTTTTTATTGTTCTCATAATAGTTGGGTTATTTTATTAACAACATTACCATGGATTTCGATGCATTGTGATGATGAAATTGTTTTTAAATTGGCAACAGGCTGAGTTATTCCATTTGCCATCACTGACAGAGGATACCCTTCTCAAACTAGATTGTAAATATTTCAGCAAAATGTCATGTCAATCTTTTTCTTCTGTAAAAATAAAACTTTTTATTTTTATTTTTCTCATAATAGTTGGGTTATTTTATTAACAACATTACCATGAGCACAGAGCATTTACACATGTTCAAAAGCTTGGGGTCAGCAATTTAGTTTTTGAACGCTCTTCAGCAAGGATGCATTACCTTTATCAAAAGTGACAGTAAAGACATTTATGCTTCAACAGATTTGTTGAATGTACTGTTCTTTTGAACCTTTTCATCAAAGAATCCTGAAAAAAATGTACCACCACAGGTTCCACATAAATATTATGCAGAACAACTGTTTTCAACTGATAATTTATTTTTTATTTTATTTGAGCAGCAAGTCAGCATATTAAAATGATTTCTGAAGGATCATGTTACACTGAAGACTGGAGTAATAATGCTGAAAATTACATTTTAAAACAAGTTAATTTCACAATCCTACTGTTTTTACTGTATTTTTGATTAAACGTCTTTCAAAAATGTTACTAAAAATCTAAACCTTTTGAATGGTAGTTCAAATCCACTGGATGAACAACTGCCTGCAACTTCAGTAGTAACAATAGTACTTTTTTTCCCCCCAGCCTTTTAAGTAGTCATTTAACAGACATCTTACAAGACACACAGTCTCTCTACAGAAAAGTGGGGTTAAAGGGATGTTCTGGGTTATGCTCAATTGACACGTCACAAACGCTGTTGATAACCATAATAATGGTTCTTTATTCAAAATCAAGAACTGAAAACAGACAAACTAGAATATTTTTAGAGGAGCACAATAGCTGTCTTCACGAGCTGATCTGAGACAGTCAGTACATTATAAAACATGTTTAATAAGTGCATGCATTCCTGATACAATCTTTATCATAAATTCTACTGCTGTAAACATTTTTTACCTTGAAAAATTTCTCCTGAGAACGTGTCTGGCTTTGAATTCGTCTCAGGGAAGACTGAACCAATCAAACATATTGTACAATATGGAAAACAAATCAGGTTACCTCAAATTATATACTCATGATTCCAGCAAGAGAATGTATTGTTCTGATATAAAATAATCATACTCTCTGAGGATGATAAAAACAAAAACAAAATCCAGTCTACAGCACAATTCGAACTAAATGGAACAGGAAAAAGGACAAAGAACACTAGTCGGAGTACATTTTGCATATTCATAGCCGTGTAAATCAGTAACAAATTACAGTATAAAAAGCATTTTAGCTCATAATCCAGTTATAAAGGAGAATCGTTGCAGCCTTGTGTCAGTTCCGTTTCAGATCAAGCAGATGAAGAGATGCACTTTGGCAACCTGTATTTAAAAACATCATTCTGTCGACTTAATGGGTCATTCGTTGGACCCGTCTGTTAGATTGATATGTACCCAAACCGAACGATCTGGTCGTGTGATTATAAAGTCATTGGTGTCAGACTACAGAGTCCAGCCGTTTTGTTTTTCAGCTGTAGTTTACATAGTTCTCGTGGCACAGACAATGAGGCGGAGGAAACGGGATGATGGAAGATATGTGGAGGGTGGGAGCTGGCATGGGGATGAGGGTGGAGCATGCTGGGGTCCCATTGGCTACTCCATGGAGATGGAGACAAACTGACAGACAAAATGACGGAGGTGGAACTACCTGTTGCTGTTGGATATGGCATATTGCTCCTGTTTCTGCTGGAGGAGCTCAGTGATGGCCAGCAGCTTTTTCAGCACGTGCTGTGAAGGAAGGAAAGAGCCAACAAGCAATGATTGCATTCAAATCTTTATCTGCTGGGTTAAAAAATGGCAGAGTGAAGCCGAAGGAAATGTCTTGTTTTCTTAAGATCACAACTTGTGACGTGGTCTTGTGATGCTGACAGACATTTTCTAATCCTCTGGTGGCCTTTTCATGAATGTTTGCACCAACAATGGTGTGTTTTGCACATACGTGAGTGACATTTCAGAATTACTGAGCTTCAATGATAAATAAAAACAGCTAGATGGAGAACAACAGAACTGAAAAGAGTGCAGGGGTCTCTGGATGTTTTTCTGAGTTGACACCAACTTAAAACTGCAGCACACATGAACTATAGGCCTCAGTAAACTTCCAAGGGAGCCTCAAGATCACTTTAAATGATATAAAGTTAGAATAAACAATTTAAAATAATGTTTTTTTTGTCTTTGATCTGAAAAAGTCATGTAAATTAAATTTTTTAAAAGCCATGCCATGCATTTTTTTAAATAACAAATACAGATTTTATAGGTATGCCCAAGCTCTAAAATATTTAATTGGGTTCAAATTGTGAGTAAAAATATTTTTTCAAAATCCTTATGCAGTAAATCATGAGCAATTGGAAAAATCATGTATATTCATGTATTGAAAAGAATTTGAAGAACATTAAGCTATTAAAACTAGAATCCTAAATGTATTTAATTTGAATTATAACTCTTTTGGTTGCTTATTTTAAATCTATGAATTCTGCTAGTTTCTGTTAAAAAAAAATCTATAGTAGCAAATATATCATGATATTTTTGTGGACAATGGACAACTATTATAGGTCATTTTTGAACTTCTATTCAATGCTTTACCTCTCTGCAGTAACATATATGAAATAACAATATTGGTAACACTACAGTAAGGTAATGTATTAACTAACATGAACAAACAATGAACAATACATGTATTACAGTATTTATTAATCGTAGTTAATGAAAATACAGTCGTTCATTGTTAGTTCACAGTGCATTAACTAATGTTAACAAGCACAACTTTTTAATAATGATTTTAATAATGCATTAGTAAATGTTAAAATTAACATTAGCTAAGATTAATGAATGCTGTTCATGCTTAGTTCATGTTAACTAATGTAGTTAACTAATGAACCTTATTGTAGTGTTAACACAATATTTAATAACACATACAATAACACAATTATTTCCATTTCAGGGTTTTTCTGAACAAATGTTGATGTGTGATTAAATTGACAGGCCTGATAAATACATTTGCTTTATGAAGGCATTTTCCATAAAAGTCCATTGATAACGTGAAAATAAAACAATAAAAATAATGCAATCTTTGTGGGTTTCTACGGATAAGAACTTATAAATAAAAGTTGTAATTATTAATGTAATATATTTGCATGACCAAGAAGTTGTGCTGACTAAGTATTATGCTGTTTATGAATTTAATGTACAGCATTATCACACAGCTCTCTG